AACTAAAAATCACAATAATACTGATTAACATTAGACTGAATATGAACTAAAATAATAACAAAATGATAATACCAAAAATCTCTATCATATGTAGACAATATTTACCCTGTATGACTTTATGAAACACTAAATTCTGAAGCCATATTGTTTCATATTCAGTGTATTTCATGTCTTTCAGTGTCTAATAATTATTATCAGAGGAGGTTTCTGTTATGATCAGGTAGTGTTTGTTTTTTTATTTGTTTCCAATCTGATTAATTCTTGTTCATTATTTTTATTAAGGATTTATCATATAAATTAATTATTTTGTATTAATTTTTTACTCATTTCTTGTCTTCTGTTCTGTGTGCATTTTGGAGGGGACTGTTGTCCCCTTCAGGTTTCTACATCCTTTGTACTTAATTTAATTTCCTCTGTGTTCTTAGTCATTCCTTCAGTTTCTCTGCTCTGTATTGTCTGTATCTGCCTGAGCAGAGTGAAGGGGAGGAAGAGAAGGACGGAGCTAAAATGGTGACAGCTTACATTGATATCAAAAATAGATTTGGTATTGAAAAATAAAACATCATTGAAATATAAAACTTTGTTGTTAAAAAAGAAGTGACATTTAAGAACTTATGATGATACTCATTTTATGGTTCAGCTGTTTTCCAATGAGGTAAATTTAAATTGCTCAGTTCTATTAGTTACATTGTCACTGCAAGTTGTCACCGTTTTGGTGGTTAAACAGGAGGCTCCTTCACTGACCGTCTGTTTTTCCGCTGCCGATGGAAGGTTTAGGTTCAAGTTTCGCTCCCTCAAACACAGATTAGGATCATGTTTTCTAATTATTATCATTATTATTATTAGTTGATAAATCAACAAATATTTCAGTTTTACTGTAAAATAAGCAAATTTAGAGGTTGGGAACTGATGTCATGGCACGTTGCATGGTAGCGGTGGCCAAGATTTACGACATAGACGACTAAAACAACAATACACTGTAAAAAAGAATGCTCCAAATCTACTAATTAAAATTAGATTTGACTATGTTTTAATTTGAGTTAATGTCAATTCATTTTGCATTTAGTAATTTAATTTAAATATATTCAAATCATAAATTAATTATCATTTTGAACAAAAATAAAGTTGGAAAAGATCGAATCATTTGAATTAATCATAGAAATTATTTTAATTCAATTATTATGGGACTGGTGTAAGTTAATCAGTTAACTGATTAGAGTTCATTAATTAGTCATCCGTCCATCCAGTGTCTAACATGTTAACCTGATGACCACAATCCCCATTGGTCATTGAGCGAGAGATGGCCATGTCAAGCCCTGTGTCCTCTGTAATTGAGGCACCCACTCAAACCATCGTGTCTTTATAAGACCTCCCTCCAACTTCCCGCCCCCCGTTTACTTCTTACTGCAGTAATAAGTCGAAATGCATAGAACCATCAGCTTGAGAGATTGGCTGATATAAACCCTGTCTTTTGTGTATTTGTCCTTCTAGCCTCTCAGGAGTCTGTGACTGTGACTGTGGAGTTTCAGGAGGGAGCTTCATCTGTTGTTCTGTCCTGCCAGTACAGCAAAAAACTGGAAGAAATCGCCACAGTGAAATGGAGCCGCTTGGATCTCAGTCCCAGTACTGTCCATCAACGGCGAGAAGGAGACGACTTAAGAGAACAAAATGAGTTTTTCAAAGGTCGAACATCAATGAAACCTGATGCTCTAGACTCTGGTGACTTCAGCCTCACTCTGACTGAACCTCGACTTTGTGACATTGGTACCTACATCTGCAGCCTCCAATATGAAACAGAAGAAATAACAGTGTCAGATGTTCAGCTGAAGGTCACAGGTCAGCTACTTTGTTTTTTACATACACACAATGTATTTCAAAAAGTATTGGATAATGCCTCCAATTATTGAATCCATGTGTTATAAAATAGAAAACATTTCCACTCTGTTGTTTAGCTTGTCTCACAACAATAAATTAAAATCCAATAATATTTAAATAAGATATGAATTTCCCTCTGGGATTAAGAAAGTATTTTCATTCATTCATAAAACAACATAGTCCACGTCAGGCTTCTCAGTTGTTCAATTCAAGTCTTTTAGTCACTTTCATGATCACAGATCTAAAAAATCTAGTATTGAGGAATACTTTTATTCTATCATCATAATCTGTGACCAGTGTGATCCTAGCTATTTTAGGGTTAAATATTAATATAAATACACCCAAGTTATATTAAAAATAAATATTGTAATGTTACATTTTAACAGAAAAAAATAGAAAACCAAGAAATCACATTTACATAAATATTTACAGCCTTTCTATGAAGCAGGACCTGGTACAGACAGGTGGGGCCTGTCTGTTCAAGATTCCACAGATGACAGCAGGTCAAAGGTCAAACACCAAAGCATGAAATCAGTGAAACTATTTGTAGACCTCTGAGACAGGATTGTGTTGAGGGTTAAATCTGGGGAAGGACGTGCGCATGTGGGCCAGCGACATGACACAAGAAAGTTCATAATTGTTCAACTTTTGTCACTGTTGTCACCATCATGTCGTGTGTGTTGGGTTCTCACTCAGTGTGATGCTTTTAGCTCCTTGTGTATTTAAACGTTATCAAGAAAATGAGAGGGGAGAGAGTAACTCAAGGCACCGGAGTGAAGCTTTTTGTCATCCAGTCTATTTGGTAGAAAGAGAGAGAATAAGCAATATTATCGCCCTCATTTTTATTATCAACCTTATTTTAAGTTATCGTGCGATTAGTTGATTTACTGTTTATTGTGACAGGCCTCGCGGTACCACACCAAAATACTGAAAAGATAAAGTGCTGTGCATATTTTCCAGATTAACTCTTGCCTGTGTCGCTCAAGGTGTCTAAAAGCTGTTCAGAGTACACCAGAACAAAACAGAGAAGACTCCCAGCTATCACTAATTTGACTATTTTGGAATCTCAAGCTTTCTTATGCAGCTGCAAAGGACGAAAGAAAAGGAGGACCGACTCAGAAGTTTATGGTAGCAGAGGCATCTTTGAACTCACTCTGCATTTATCTGAATTACTCGCCTAAAACAAAGTCAAGCTGAATGTAAACCTCACGGCTAATGGAGAAAAATCAGCTGATATCCAAATGGCTTCCTGTAGTGTTGATATGTAAAATGATAACATAATGATAAGAAGGACCAGCAGGGGGCACTGTGGGATGGAGAATTTGTCGGGTGGCAGCAGGGTGTCACATAAAGAAGATTGATCCACAGTATTAGAGTCTCTGAGGAGTCAGAAGTGGATGTTTTTGTGGCGGAACATTAAATTTATATTTAAGATCCAAAATGTAGGCTCTTACTGTGAAGGTGGAGAGAGTGGAAATGGAGTGAGGAGCAAAGGAAGAGAAGATCTACTTGTTATGTCAGTCTTGTATTTCTGTTCATTGTTGGAAGTACTTTCTGATTAAAGCGAGACTGGAATTACTTCATCTGTTTTTGCCAACTTCCACACTGTTATTTTAAAGGGCACTACAAGGGCAACGTGTGCAGTCCTGAAAAGGTAAAGAAATAGTGATCAGTTTTATTCAAGATGGAGTCTTTGAAACCACTGAATGGACTAAAACTGGTTAGAAATGTGGACAGCAACTGTTTTAGGCAGCAGTTTGAGCTGTACACTGAAAAAAATTTAACCAACTTAATGTAATTGCTTCAATTGGTTATAAGTAATTCAATTCAGTGTATCAACTCAGTTTACTAAGTGCATTCAACTCAATATTTTATGATCATCCAACTCAATTTATTTTAATTTCTTTAACTGAATTCATTAAGTGAGTTTAAAATGACAAATTTAAGTCAGTTTTACTCAAAACATTTAGGTACTTCAAATAAAGAAGGAAACTAATAAATAATCTCTTCTTAAACAGGGATTTTTTTTGGCTCAGGGAGTTTTTATTTGAGAGTATTTAGACAGGAAAGCTGGTAATGACAGACAGGGAAGACATGCAGCAAAGGTCACATTCCAGGAATCGAACTTACAAAGGCCACGTCGAAGAGTAAGGTCTTCTTATGTGGGTTGTATTCTACCCCTGTGCCACCACAGCATCTGGTTTATACAGGATCGGTCCCTGATGAAGTTTAAAAGGCACTACATGAAGGCAGACGTAGGATCCAGAGGCGGCGTTGAACTTAATTATTTCAAATACACTTTTGAGAGTGCACTCTCAAAACACACTTCTTAGAGGACACTCTAAAAGGTGTAATTGGTCTGTAGTTCATCTTATGGACTTATTTATATTTATCTAATTTAATTATTTTGCTTTAGTTTTGACAACTTACTGCCCTGTGTTCAATTAACTTTAAAGTTAATTGAACAAACATTTAACTTAAAGGAACTTTTTCTTTAACATTATTTGAAACTATTAGAGTCATAGCTTCAGTAGCAAAATCATCTTCATGCATGACAATGCACCACATCATGCTGCAAGGAATACCTCTGTGTCATTGGCTGCTATGGGCTTAAAAGAGGAGAAACTCATGGTGTGGTCACCATCCTCCTCTGACCTCTGACCTATTGAGAACCTTTGGTTCATATCAAACAGCAGCTCTGAGAAGGTGTCCTGACATCCTGCAAAGACATTCAAGCAGAAACTCTCCACAAACTCACAAGTTCAATGGATGCAAGAATTGTGAAGGTGATATTAAAGAAGGGGTCTTACATTAACATGTAACTCGTCTGTTAAGATGTTTTTGATTGAAATGGCTTTTGATTTTAGTAAATGTGACCACTTAATGCTGAACATTTGAAGAATGACCTTTTGCAGATCTTTTTAATCCATAAAATGTTTAGAAAATCTGCTGTTCATAATAATTTGGAGCAGTGCATTTTGAGTTTTTTATTTTTGAAGAAAATACTGTTCTCATTGGGAGGTTTGTTCAGTAAAATTTAATTTATACTGTAATAGTTTATGACTTGAAAATTATACTGACCATCATTTACACTGACCATTTAGGAAAATCTGAGAAAATGTCACTTGCATAATAATTTGGAACATGGTGTAGTGTTTAGGTATTGTTAATAATGTCTTCTAATAACACATAATTACCTAATGATATTTTCAAATTTCCTTTCAACTTTATAAACATTTTTCCCACTCAGAAACATAACGGACTGCAGGACCACCAGCCTTAGAAAGTTTTCTGGGGGAAACCTGAAATTCAAAATACTTTTTTTTTGTCTAAGAGGAAAATTAAATAATGAGTCCAACTACAATTTCCAAAACAAAAAGAAACAGTTGTCCAAAAAACATTTTTCCCTCTATTAAGGTAGGAATGAAAGTTTGATAAAGAAAAAATCTCAATTAAAGTACAGAGCTACTCCAACATGCTGCCACCCTGTGCAAAAAATTCTAGAATCCTGAATATGATTGTCCATCTTTTCCCATCTGTGCCTTTGTTTATGTCAAGGTAATATTTTTCTATGAATGACGTCGAGCATGTGTGCAGCAAACTGCAAATATACAGATTAGACAGCACAATAAACGTAAAAACAAACGTGTACAAACATGTCTGTAAAGATGCACAAGTACATGGCATTGCAACTAATCTAGATAAATGTCACAAATCTGTACAATCAGGGGTATACAGCTGCTGAGCAAGTGTCATGCGCTCCGACAGCAAAGGCAGGAGTGCAACACTGAACCTGGAGGTTGAGGGGGTGTTTATCAGTCTCTTCAAAGTCAAGCCCATTTGAAACTAGATAGAAGAAACTTTTATGTTTCAATAATATGTTGTTATATATGTAGTTTTAATTTATTTATCTACAACAAAAACACAACAAAACTTTTTTTTTTCCTATTTTTACATTGATAACATTACTACTAAACATTGTCACAATGTTTAAAGACAATTCTATTCTATTTTTTTTTAAAGAGGTTAACGTAACATAATTTTGCAAACTGTTACATTTTTTCCTAACAAAAATAAAACAGCATGCATGTCTGGGATTTAACTTGTCTTTTGTATTTCCACAGAAAAATTTCCAACTTGGGCCATAGTTGTCCTGACTTTCCTGGTTATCTTCATCATCCTGCTTCTCTTTTTCATTATTTTATGCATTATAATGATCAGGTAAGCCCCGTCTACAACGGAATTACTGTTGCTCAGTAATTCTGAGTTTTCAATGTGTTTCTATGGTCAAGAGCTCTACCTACATCTGTGGGTGAATGAGAAATACAAATGTTGCTGAAACTTTATGCACTCCTGCCAGTCTTAGCCAGGATTCTTTTGCAGAAGACATTTTTAATCTCAATGAGATTTTCCTAAAGGATAATAATATAGACAATGTACACGTTTAAAATAGAAAGTAGTATTAACTAGGTATTATGTGTAACTTTAAAGGGAAATACATTTTCACAATCTTGTCTGCTAGTGTATTTAGGGTTCTCTACAGCTGATCATCTTAGTAGCCTTCTTTGTCACACCAAACACTCTGCATCCTTCACTACATTTATTAATCTTCTGTTTTTTTCCTCTTCCTAAGAGTTGATTTGTTTGAAATAAGTTTCCAAACAAATTAATCAGTGTTTGAACTAGCCAGGTTTTATATTGATTGGCACTGGGTTCAGCTAGCTAACCTAACTGCTATCCATCAACATCAAATTAACACTCTGCTAAATTACTAATGCAACAATTTCATCACATTTGTTTTACGGGGTACCTCTCTATGTCAGATTGTTTTTATTACTCTTGTCTTTCCGTGTGTTAATGTTTGTCTTTTTTTTTCCTTAGGACATGAGACGTGACCAGATATAATATAACTTAATAAAAATATATAAACCTGCTTTGGAATCATGATCTCCTTTTTTGTCATGACATCTGCCTAAAAACATCCTATGTGGTAAACTATAATTTAGAAAGGGTCATGTCTTATAAGAAATATGGGAGCTAGTTTGAAAGAAAACACAAGTAGTATAAAGACAGAATGGAGATGAAAATTCTACAAAGCAAACAGACTATAGATTGATACCAAAAATCCCTGTAAGCAGAGACACATATCTACACCCCACACCGTCTACAATGACTAAGGGAAAATCCCGAGGCCAACAACAGTGAGTAGTAACAACTGTATTTTGAGTGTCAAGTGCTAGAAAGTCTCTGACATTCAGGAGATACATTCAGAAAATTACTCCACCAAGAGGATGGTCATTAAAACCACTGTCAAAGTTCCTCACCCTTTGAACAACTTCTAAACGTTTTGAATGTTAAACCATGTAAAGGGCCGTAATTAGTTATCATTCCCAGATTGCATCCAGATTGTGCCTCCTAGTGGGCTAAGTAGGTTGCTATGACCAAATAAGGTGAATTGCTGCTTGATTGGTACTTCAACAGACCACGAAACTCCCCAAAAAACAAGCTTCTGACTTAAGACGTAGGTGAGGATTAGGAGGTACAGGGGGTACTGCCTGAAATAAATTCATGGGACTGCAATTGTAGCAGAATGATTGAAGCCTGCTCTCAATGATTGGGAATGCCTGTTACATCTAATTACCTGCCAGCAGGGGTGCTGTGAGTATAAAGGGAGGCTCTTACACCTGCATTACTCGGTGGTTCATTCATTGCTCACTAGTGACATCTGCTGCTGTAACTGTGTCAGCCTTATTATTACTGATAGATATACATAAAAAAAAAAGTAATTGCAATATCGTCACAAAGTTTTTGTCAAGCTCATGCTTAGTGGCATAGTGCTCCTATGTAATAGTGAGCTATTACATGAAACAATACATGAAATTACCTGTAAAATCGATCATATGGACCTAAAAATAGAATCGAACTTCAATAAGATCAATGGGGTTGTATTTTATATTGTGTGTCATGCAAACAGTTGATAAAATTTCCTCTATGTGGAGAGCAGAAATATAAAAACATAGATGTAAAACTACTTTGTAGAAAAATCTTTCTTTAGTTTTTAAATACTAACACTCTTAACAACACGACATTCTTTAAAAAGCCCAAGTAACTAATAACCAAGAATAGCATTCATGTCTCAGATCATTTATTAGTCCACTGTCATGCAACAGATATTTGTATTTTACTTAAAGGAGATGGTTTGTAATGAAAGAGAAAGAGTTTGTCACACATATCCTCATGTTTAAGTGACATCTGAATCAGGGAATGGAAGTGGTTGGAGGAAGAGAAATGTCACAACTAAATTCCAGCTGACAGCTCGTTTAGTTTCTATCAATCAATCAATCAATTAATCAATACTTTAATTAGGTAAACACATGACACAAACACAACATTAAACAAACCCATAATTTACCAAAAAAAGAAAAGGAATAGGCTGAAACCAGGCTTATTCTTGCCTACCCTATTTTATACAACAACCTACCAAAGACATCTTCACAATACATATATAAGTCTACTTTACAGTGTAAGATGTTATCATTTTACATTTTAGAGCTCTTTTGAAGCTCACCAAGAAAGGACATGACTTAAAATCATCATTCAATTAAGTAATGGTTTTGTTCTTGTTAATTAGCCAGAATGTACAAGCTTCGTTAGATTTGACTGAGTAGATATGAAAGAATAAGTCCTGTTAAGAACAACATTTTAACTGTAAATCTTTACTGTCTTTTACAGACTCTGTGTTGTATACATTGGTTAAAAATAGCGGAGACATTCATTTCTATAAAATCTCGTCCACATTTGACCAATTTAAGAAAAGTGTTCAAACCTGCTGAATTCAACTAAGTGTTGTTGTATTAACAAGAAATAGATGAAAACGTATATCACAGAAGAGACATTCTCCACAACAAGTAAGCTGCCATACATGAGTGTTTTCATATTTGTTTTGTTTCAGCCATTGTTTCACCTGGGAATTAAAAACTGTAAAATCTCTTAACATTTTTATTGCTGATTGTAAACTGTTTCAGATATGAGAGCCTCTGAATAAAGTTTTGTATTTTGCAGGTCTACAGTCTCCATTAACAGCATCTCAAAGTGACGACTCCTGGGCTGCTGGATTTTAAAGTCATTCTGCTAATCTGGGACAAGACAATTGATATATTTTAAAAGTTAATTTCAGTAAAGAAAGTTTTATAAAATCGTCAAACCTTAAGAGATTTTTTTTCTCCAATGTTTTGCAGTGATGTCACTTCACTGGATTTTGTTCTAAAACTCTAAGGTCTTTTTCTACAATAGCATCATGGGTTTTAAAGCAGATTGAGTTGCTTGACTTCAAAGATAAATAAATAAATTAAATGTTACAACAGAGAAACATACACATTCGTAAGATTTACTTGGATTTAAATGTTCTTTAGTTTATCTTTTTCATCAGGTGTCTGTTTGATCCTATAGCCCATAAGTTTAGTGCTTTTGTAAAGGCTCCATTTTGGCTCCAGTGGCCTTTGACAGTGAGTGGACAGGAAAGTGGGTTGTTATAAAGGAGGGAAGACATGCAGCAAAAGGCTGCGACTCGAACCCACAACCGCTGCATGGTTCTTTCTGAAATAGTTTCGACTTGTTGGTATTTGATCTGTTCATTAGGAAATGTTCTACCTCCACACCTACAGCTTTACTGCAAAAGAAGCTGTGCTGTGAATAAAAGGAAGTTCAACTTTAGTTTTTTCCCTGTTTCTAAATTTTGATCAAACACTTTCATTATCTTTTCAGAGAATTGTTGTGGCTTAAAGTATGAAAAAAAATCTAAGCACCGTCACCAACATTTTGAAAACTGTATCAGTTTCATTTTTAGAAAGAAATTACTTCCTCACAGATTGATCACGAGCAACTTTAAGTTAAACATCAGTCTGAACTCTGATCAGTGAATTAAGCTTTGTAGGAATCAAACGTGGTACAAAGCAAAGAAAGAAAATGTAAGTAAAATAAACTTATTTCAAAATAAGGAAATTTTGAAGTAAGTATTTTACTTACTTATTGAAATAAAATAAGGAAAATATTTTACTTCAAGGAAAATATTTTCCTTGAAGTAAGTAAAGATAAGTAGGTAAATTTTTATTGATACAGTACCTTTCTCAAACAGCAGTCACAGTGCTTCACAGTAAAAACAGTAAAGAAAAAGATCAAAAGCAATAAAAAAAATACATAGAAAACCAACATACAGAGAGCGAAGAGTGTAGAGGATAGAAACAGAGATTTAAAATACCAAGGTTCACATACATATCCTAAATTATAAAATGAAACACTCTGTAAGTCTTGGCTTCTAAAATTACTGGAATGTATTATATTTATTGAAAATATTTATAAACTTTAATTCGTTTTTATTGCCTTTTCAAAACTCTTAACTACTGATTCTTGGATTTGTTTATTGGAATGTTATTCTGTAAATGTTAATGTATTTCAATAATAATGTGGAACTGTTCACTCTTTCAGTAACAGTCTTTACTTGTTTCTAAATACTGTACATTTATTCTCCATGTTTTACGGCCTCCAGAGGGCGCAAGGAGCTTCCTGCGCCCTCTGCAGGTACCAACAGGAGCTTCAATCTACCTGTAGACCATGAGCTGCTGGCGCACTCTACTGGCAAATCAAGCTATTACAGATAAACTGAAGCTAAAGGTGGTTTATGATCACAACATTCAGGAAGTTTCAGGTTGTGGTGTTTTGATAATGAATATTTTTGTTTTTGTTCATGTGAGGGATTTACTCCCTCATTAGGTGCTATATGTTGTACCTCCTGTATTCTAATTCATTTTACTGATAACTATACATTTTCTGTTTGGGGATCATTTTAAACCTGATTTATTTATTTAAGATTTTGTTCTAATCACT